GTAAGAACCACTGTGATAAACTGAGAGTCATTATAAACATGGCTGACGGTTTGATCTCCTCTGGTATTGCTGTATTTTGTGTCCTTGGGCATGACACTTCATCTGTTTTGCTCGTGTGTGTGTGTGAGTTTTGAAGTGTGAAATATTGCTGAAGTAAATAAAGATAAACGATAATAAAACCAAACCATAAAGCAGAATTATCCCCCCAAAATGATTCTAAATGTACAATATTGCTAAATATTAGTGTAGTTGTAATATTGTACTTTGTTTATCATTTTAGCTGATAATTCAACATATTGTAAAAAAAAAATAAAATAAAAAAAATCATAAAAAATGTCCCACTAGTGCAAAGAAAAGGTCCGCACGATAAATACTGACTCTCAAAAATTATATTTTTATAGTTATATATTGTTCCATCTTTCTTAAATTGAGGGATGGTCTATTCATGGAGGGATAAGCAGATCTGTGTCAGGGCATTTGAGGAGAGAAACAGCTCCTAGGACAAAAGTGTCCCTCCTCTGTGTCCTGCAGCCTCACAGCAGCCTGCAGGGGGCGCCAGGTGAACACAACAGGAAAAGCTTGTTCTTACTTCGCTCTAGTGTTTCCATTGGTGATAAAATGGTTCATTCTCTCAAAGTATTTCTTCTGGAAGGTCTTCTGCCACATGTGGTGTAAAAAGCCTGCAGGAATGGTTACAATTATTTATTAATTCATATTAATCCTCTGCAAACAGTTGATTAACAATATCCTTTAGGGCTGGGTATCTTTAAGAAGTTGCCAATAGGCCACGATACGATACATATCTCGATACAGTGGACTTTCAATTTGATACGATATGTTTCAAAATGATTTGATATGGTTCAGTAAAGTCATGGCTGTAAAATTCTTTGTTAAACCACTTCTTGTGCAAAGTGAATATGAAACACAAACATTTTAATGATCAAAACAGTGAAAATGTCAAATGTGTCGCGTAAACGAGTTTCCTTCCTCTAAACCAGACATGTTAAACTCAGGCCCAGGGGCCAAATTTGACCTGCGATTTAATTATATTTGGCCCTCGAAATCGTATCAAATACGTACTAGAGCTGCCCACCGGCTACAGATAGACTATAGAGACATTAATTATTAAAAATTGTGTTATTATTTTATATTATGATTGTTCTGGATTCAATGTTTAAGCAAAACTATTATTAAACATTTATTTTATTAAGAAAAGGTTTAACATTACATATCTCGAAAAAAGAGAAAACATGCAGATGTTGTTGAAATTTTTCAACAAATATTTAGTTTGTCCCACGACTTAGTCCCAGTTTTCAATTTTGGCCTCTGTGAATTTGAGTTTGACTCCCCTGCACGAAACAAACAACAAAACTGTAGCGCTGTAACAAAATCATTTTGTAAAATATACCAAAAAATCCTCTTGGTGATATATCAATACTGTATCATCACATTAAACGATACGATATATACTGATATTTTGATATTTTTGCACACCCCTAGTCTCCTTCTCCTTCCTACTGTGTGTAAAATCTTCAATTTTTTTTAGTTCAGGTGATTCTTGGAGTAGTTTATCAGTTAATTTTTCAGCCTCATCTAAAACGTTTTTAATTAAATACAAATTTACAAGCCCTACATACATCTAAAATATTTGACCTCTGTTTTTATATTATTTGCTTTTCTAACTCTGTGTTTAAAGATGCACTCTATAACCTTTGTATTGGAGGGTCGGCCACTTGCTTGTCTCCGTGAAGCTTTGATTAAAACGCTCTACCAGGCCAGGTTACAGTAAGAATCTGTGTTTGTAAGTTGTTACTGATCATCATGTAACTGTGTGGAAGTTGATTTTCCGGTCCGAGCTCTGGTCCGAGCCACAGCTGTGGAGGTGTCAATCACGTGTATTATGAGTCCACATTAAACAAGCTTACACACTGCGGTAATGTAACACCCGCCACGGCAAATACTGCACGGGGCGCCTCCTGTGGGCCGAGGGGCGACGTTCAGATCCACAAATCTGTCAACATTACGAGTCCCACTAAACACCGAACACCAAGGGACCATTTTAAAGAAGGAGGGGGTAAAGCACGCGATACAGATAATCATGTTGATATATGGTACTGTAAATGTTAAGTTTTAAAATATTTGTGTTGGTACTTTGCAGCTGCATCAACATTCCCGGGGGGAGGGGGGTGATGCTAACTGTAGGTTCTGCTCTGTCTGAAGTAGGGATGGGCATGATTAGTCAATTAATCGATAATTGATCATTAAGAATTTCATCGATTACGTTCATTTTAATCAACAAACTGAATGTAGGTTGCTGTGCGTAGTGTAGCGTGACCAAACATCTGTGTCCGGGGACAAACAGGGGTCCGTACATGTGTCTCTCTGCATCAGAAGGAGCGAGACACAAACAGTCGGTCAGTCTGCAACGTACCGAAGCACAAAAGCGTATTTAACGATGATTTGTACAAGAAATTCCACGCTTTCTGTTCCAGTCAGGACAAGTGTGAGTCCATGTGCACAGTGAACAAAGCAGCACATATGTTTCGGTGTCCAGGGGGAAAAAGTTTTAGCCAGGTGAGAGTCGCGCAATGTCGATGACGAGTCCCCACCTCCCATCCCCCCGTACGGTGTCCTGGTTTTGACAAACGCAAATATGGTCACACTAACCTGTATTCCACTGAGTCGTGTCCTTTAATCCGACAGAAGTTGAACCGCATCAGCGACACAAGAGCAGGTTTTTTTTCTTCGCTTATCAGGAGAAAATTCAGTTTGTCGACTGGACAAAAGTTAGTTTGGTTGAAGACGTTTCACAGTTCATCCAAGCTGCTTCTTCAGTTCTGAACTGAAGAAGCAGCTTGGATGAACTCATGGATTCTACCTGGACAACTGAGGGACTCTTCACACTTTTCTTTGCTTCGTTTATGCAAATTAGCCATGCGGTTTTAAGTTTTGTTTCTGTGAGAGTTGTGCAAAACTGAATTAAACACATTATAAAGTCAAACGGGCTGATGTGGTTACGGTTTATATGTTGTAAAGACGTGTGAAGAATCCGTCAGTCGTCCAGGTAGAATCCATGAGGAGAAAAATTCTGTTTGTCGACTGGACAAAAGTTAGCTTGGTTGAAGATGTTTTGCAGCTCATCCAAGCTGCTTCTTCAGTTCATTAACTAACAGAAACTGTAAACAAGTAGGTGTGTTAGTTTCAGTTAGTTAGCTCCTGTTACGACCCAAAAAATTTGAGTCCCAACATATTTAGGAAAGGACAGGGAAACCAAAGTAGAATTTTAGAGTTCTTTTATTTTTGTTTGTGCAGAGATGTTTAAACCAAAAAAAGAAACCCTACCCGTGCCCAAACCAAAAGTATCAACGGAAAGGTGGACCTGGTGAGCCGGCCAAAAGGAACAAAAGGGTGCGACACCGGGCCAACCCTATACAGGGCCGTAGGAGCTGGTGCCAGCACCTGTAACTAAAGACAAAAAAACCCCAACAACCTAAACCCAACAGAAAAGCGAAAACAGGACAGCCGGTCCCACCAGGTCAAACAAAAGGCTAACGGCTAACGAAAGCTCCCCAAACGATGGAGCAGGGGAGCCAGCAGGGCGGCTCCCAGCGCGAGGCGTGCACGCTCCGGTACCTGCGGCGGCGGCGGACGAGGAGGAGGAGAGAGCGAGAGAGAGCGAGGCGGCGCCGGGCTCGCGCATTTAAGGCTTCCTGCCGGAAATGAGTACAAAAAAACTACAAAAACATAATTAACTTATAAGAACAAAACTAGGCAGAAATGCTACAAAAAATATAAACAATAAAAAGAAAGCAGGGAAAAACCAAAAAGTGCCCAAATGTAACACCCCCACCCAGAGTCACTGAATAAAAAAAATTTGATGGTGTGGAAAAAAAACACGCTCCACCCACCGTCAAATTATTCAGTGCATAGTAAGTGCATGGCAAGTTTTTTTTCTCTTTTCTTTGCAATTTAAAATCTACAAGCGCGACAGCATTCTAACCAGAACTGAAGAAGCAGCTGGGATGAGCTGCGAAACGTCTTCAACCAAACTAACTTTTGTCCAGTCGACAAACTGAATTTTTCTCCTCATATATGTCGTAAAGTTGAATTTATTTATGCAGATTAGTAGTGCGGATAGTAATAATAATGATGATAATTTTAATATAAAAACGTTAATGATTAACCCTCTCAGGCTCAAATTTAATTTTAGTAACAGGAAAAAATCTGATATTTGGGGAAAATGATCATATGGGGTAGTAATATACAATCCTGACTTTTTTTTGAGAGAGACCTTCACATCCAATGCGTTCTGGGATGTTGCAGATTTGTAACATTGGTCCGATGTGGTAAATAAACACTGAAGACTGAAAATGATATGAACGCTAACTTTATGTGTATACCTCTTTTTATAACAATGAAAACATAAAGCACAGTGTAACAGCTTTACAGTGGCAGAACAACATCACTTTTTCGTGTGGTGCTCCAAGAAACAATTTTTATCCTTTGTAAACAACACAAGCACTTTGCACTTCTGGCAGTGTGTAGCCATTCTTGCACAGTCTGCATCTTCCACATGTCCACATCTCCACATCTCGTCGTTTATCAGCATGGATGGGAAAAAAGGCTCCTGAGTAAAAAAAACTCATAAAATATGGATTTGGAGTAAGTAGGTAATTGGCATTTAGCTGTTGCAAAACTGCAACGTGTGCCTGGAGAGGGTTAATCGATCGTTAATTCTCCCGACGATCGATAAAGAAAATTTTATCGAATGCCCATCCCTACCCACAACATTACATCACTGCAAAATATCAGTACAACAAAAGACAGATATACGCTTGTAAACCTGACCTAAACTTTGCTGTATCTCTGTATTTTGGCTTCTGCTGTTTGTAAAAGTCATTCAGTCCCAAATGTGTTTTATCGTATCCCTGTTAAACTGTTGCACTGTAAACCCTTTTTATCACCATCATTAATAATTCAACAGCTCCTTCAATTTGTGC